TGCTACATAATGTGAAGGGAGCGAGCGAATGACGTAATGCGCACTAAAATACTGTGCAAACCGCCCTAACACCAATATCCTACAACATCCTCATCCCGTCCAAGATCTCAACATCAACATTTCATTTTACAGGGATAATAGTTATTCCGACAAATGCTGACTTTCACGCAACTCTTCTTCCTGTATCAGATCAGCTCTGTGCCAATTCAAGCTACGATCATTTCCACCAGCATTTGATCTTGAGTCGTCTTTTGCGATTTTGGGAAGGCGAACACAACAACTGTTCGAACACATCCTGAGAAAGAGATTGAAAGATTCATTGGAGGAACGAAGGGCTCGCTAAGGCGGCTTTTGAACGCTGCCTTTTTTTCTGCGCAAGCATCCCCAAGCCAGCCAACAAACCCAACCTAAACACATTATGCAACAACCGCCCTCCAGACGCGGCCGTCCAAACCGGCAACCGCCTTCTTCAGAATCATCAAGAGGTACCCACACGGGCCGCGGTCGCGGCCGCGGCGACTCCAACCCCGTCTCAGACCGAGGAAGAGGACGAGGAGCGTCTAGGGGCAGAGGACAAGGCCGCGGTCGCGGTAGACCCAACTTCAGACCGGACCCCGACGAAGCCCCTGTCCCCTCATTCGCATATATCCACCCCGGAACAAGCGTCTCAATCATTCTCAAACAGGATCAACCCACCGGACACCAAGTCCGCGGTGTCGTCGCCGATCTGCTAACACGGGGTGATCATCCGCGCGGTGTGAAAGTGAGGTTACGAGATGGAAGGGTGGGGAGGGTGCAGAAGCTTGTCAGTGAGAGCGAGGGACAGCAGGGTGAGGCTGTTGTTGGGGGCGCTGGAGCGGGGCTGAGTAGGGATGGTGAGGCTGGTGGAGGTATGGGAAGAGCAGGTGGGAGGATGGTTGGAGGCAGGGTGGAGAGAGATATTAGGGATGAGGACGAGTATCTTTATGATGAAGGCAGGACTCGGAGACAGCCGGCTGACGTGGGGCTTTTTGCGGCGTTGGAAGAGGCGGATCGGAGACATCAAGGTGGGGATGTGAGGGGGGTGGAGGTAGCGACGTGCCCAGTATGCGGAGAATTCGAGGGGGACGAGGCGGCGGTTGCGCATCATGTTGAGGAGCATTTTGGGGGATGAGGTACGTGAAAATGGAGGTCTTTACATGCTCGGCATACAAGTATGCTCTCGTGACACAATCACAATTTTTGAAGACCAATCACGAAAATAGATCACATCAAGGACGCTCTCTTCTTGATCGTTAACTTTTGAAATTTCGTTCTACACTACTTCTTCCAATAAGTCACAAGCGGCATTCATTTCCTCAAACAGATCTCGTGCATAAGATAATAATGAGAGACGCCAGGCAATGCTCAAATCCCTCGAAGGCCAATGTGAAAATCAATGCTTCGCACCCAAATACAGGAGAGCGATCCAAACGACCGTCTATGCATCTACTGCTCGCGCATCTCCTGTATCCAACGCCATGAATGAAATCTGTCGGAAATGTTCTGCCAAGGGTATACACACGAATCAAAGGTCGGATGATATGTTTGAAACGGAGCGTGGTGGTGGTTGTCGTTACGTGGGTATGATAGGGGCGTTTAGAAGGGGAAGCCACCGGGCGGTCCTCCTCTTCGGCCACCGCTGGGCATGCCGCCCATACCGCCAAACGGACTTCCACCGCCGCCGGAGCTGAAGTGGAAACCACCCCCGCCGCCACGGCCGCCTCCCATACCTCCGCCCATGCCGCCGAACATTTGCATGACTGTGAATCGCGTTAGTCGTGAACTTTCTTTCATAGTCATGAGAATACTTACGGATCTCTGGGTCAATGCCGCCACCCATGCCACCCATGCCTCCTCCCATGCCTCCCCCGCCGAACATGTCGTTGGGATCGACAAGATCAGCGCCGGAGTCGTATCTCTCGCGCTTTTGTGGGTCGCTCAGAGTCTCATGTGCTTCTTGAATCTCCTTGAACCTGTCCGCAGCATCCGCGTCGTCTGGGTTCTTGTCGGGGTGGTGGACAATGGCCAGCTTTCGGTATGCCTTCTTGATCTGTGTCTCTGTGGCGTCCTTCTCGATACCGAGAATCTTGTAGTAGTCCTTCCTCTTGCTCTTCTTAAGCTCCATCTCGGCATCGCGGATTTCTTTGGCAATGCCAGGCTCCGATGGGTTCTCTTCCTGGATAGCCTTGAGATCACGTACTGCCTCCTCCCAGTTGCCGTTCTCTCCCAGGGCCTTCGCCCGGGTCTTCCGTGCCTTTGTGTAGCTGGGATCGAGCTCGAGGGCCTTCTCGCAGTCTGCAATGGCTTGTTTCCAGCTCTTTTGCCGGCTGTGGCACAGGGCTCGGTTCTGTAGGATCTTGGAGTTTGTGCCCTTGTTCGAGGGGTCGACTGCGAGTGCCTGCGTGTAGGTGTCGATGGCTTCTTGGTACCTGCCGGACTTAAAGGCAGCGTTGCCCTCTTGCTTCATGCGGTCCAGCTTTTGCACCATTCGCAGGTACTTGACAGCGGCCTTGAAGTCGGGGTCGCATGCCAGTGCTTGTCTAAAGTGCTGTACAGCCTTGTCGTTCTCGCCCTGGGCGTATAGGATGCGGCCGCGCAGTACGAGGGCGTCAGGATCCTGGTTGTTGTACCGTAGTAGCGACATGGCTACGTTTTGTGCCTCTCCAAGTGCATTGGCATTGCCCATGCGCAGATGTGCCTCTCCCCGCATGAGCTGCCACTTCCGGGGCTTGTCTACACCAACGCCGAGACCCTTCTCAGCCTCGTTGAGGGCGTATATGACCATGGAACCCGATCCCTCGTTGCGTGATGTGTCTTCGGCCATGCGGAGGTGCTTCTGCATTGTCAACGCAGGCTGCTTGTCTTTGGCTGTGGCATTGATGGAGTCGTACACCTGCACAGCCTCGTCCGGCCGTCCCAGGCTGGTGTACACTCTGCCTAACCGCAGGAGGATCTTCATGTTGTTGGGGTCCAGCTCGTCGGCCATCTTGCAGTCCTCCATGGCCTCGTAGAACTTGTTGGCGGAGATGTAGGCGGCGGCCCGGTTCGAGTAGTAGGTGGCATTTTTGGGGTCGGCTTCGATCGCTGCGGATTGGTTAGCCAGAAGCTCTCCCGGTGTACTGTAGTGCAAAGCTTCGGCTAGAGCATGGGCAGTGTCACTACGCACCTTTTGAGTATTCCTCGATGGCCCGCGGGTAGTCTTTGATCTTGAAGAACTTGTTGCCGGCCGCCTTGTACTCCTCGGCGTCTATCGTCGGGGGCTCAGCGGGCGGGGTGGCAGCCTCGGGGGTCGCGGCGTAGTTTGCAGTGGGCGGCGGCGGGCTCTTGGTGTAGCGGTGTGGTGGAGGAGCAGGCCCGTCGGGGGCGCCGTTGGCACCGTTCGTCTTGGGCGTGTCGGCGACGGGGCTCGAGGGGGCGGGCGAGGACGAGTGGTCCCGGTCCACGTCCATTGGCTGGGGCGTGGGCTGGTCCATGGCGGACATCTGCGAGGACAGGCGCTGGCGCTCCTCGGGCGGGAGGTTTAGCGGGTGGGAGTCGCGGTCGTACTTGGACGAGCGCTTGGACGAGTAGGAGCTCGAGCGGCGGCTGGAGGAGCGTTCCCGGTCCTTGACCTTGGAGTGGGTGTGCTTGTCAGGCGAGGCAGGAGGGGTGCCTGAGTTAGCCTGGGGAGAGGGTCGGGGGGCAAGGTTGGGGATATCTCTGGTCTTGGACGACTTCTTTGAGGATGCGAAGAAGGAGGGAAGAACCATGGGGGCGAGCTGCGGAAGGATAGCGGCCTGGACGGTGTCACTAGAAAATTAGTCTGGCTGCAGCGACTGTTGGTTGAGATCCAGGGCGGATAAAAATTAAGCTGGGATTTTGGTCCTAAAAACGTTGCTAGAATGTTCCATATCAGCGAGGTTAAGCCCGCTAGCACGTCTGCCACAGAGTCAAGCCGCAGCGGACGTGCATCGGAAGGCTGGGCTGATAGTCGCCTACCACGCCAATCGCCCTGCATGCGGCACCGACTTACTGCCCGTTGTCACGTCGCGGAAGCGGTAAACGCTCTGCAATTACCTTTCTCTCACTCTCGACACGCGACTATACGCTGTGGGACTCCAGGACTACCTCGAGTGGGGCATCCGACTCGCCCAATCCGCGGAGAGAGGCTGGGGCGCGCAGTATCAACAGACGACAACAATACCTTGCATAGAGGATGCGATAGTCTGTCCACTACCAACGCTCATCGTCCTTTTTATCGTCGATGCGCTGGCCTCTCAACCACCAGCCTGCTTCTTTGTGTGCCAATGTAAAACGCTCTCTGTTTGCAGGTGCAGGCACACACTCGGCCATGGCAACAACAACACCGAGAAGATGACTTGAGGTAGACAAGCGCTTATACGATGACTCGCCGTTGCGGAGAGACGTTCAAAGGCAGGAAGACCGACAATGATCTCCAGACAGGCAAATTGGCGTGGCTGTGGTTTGTCACAGGGTGTCTGTCAATGATCTGATGCAGAAGATGCTTTCCATTTAGTCGACTGTTCCTGTTCTCGGTTCCCATTGACACGACTGTATCCGGACTACCTAGGTATTCCAGCTCAGCATGCCCTCACGTGCGTCACCAGCTGACTACACACCATCTCACCATGCACTAGCTCAGTAGCTGTCAGGCTCCCACGGAACTCGTTACCTGGTTCCACAAAGTCACAGCACATGCCACATAGATATCCGTAGAGCATCCGATCTCATATACCATATAGCAACCCTGCCCAAGTGTTTACCCGGCTGTGCCCCTCGCCTTCGTCATCCCGCCCACCTGACGCGCACGTGCCAGCAGGGACCGCGCCGTCACCTCCAGGTCCAAAGCTTCACTCCACATCCCAAGATAGCAATCGCGCTTGGGCGCAACAGCGGGAGCCACAACCATCGGCCCCTCAAACGCTTCACCGCTAGCTCCCCGCCACCTTTCTCCCCTTGCACCCGCGCCAACAGCACGTATGACCGGCGGCGACCAACAACGAGTGGCTACCTCTGACTACCGCTCTGATTACCGCCACGGTCTCGACACCACTCCCACGCCGCCGCAGCCCTCGATTCACGCGTCGGATCGCCTGTCCATCACTATGGGCCTCACGTACAACATCTACCTCAACTCGACCACGTCGCGCATCTACGGCTGCAAGAACTGCAAGACGCATCTCTCCAACCACGACGACATACTCAGCAGGGTGAGCCCATATTGAACTCCCACACGTAGCCATATCGCTAACCGTCATAAGAACTTCCGCGGTCAACACGGCAAGGCGTACCTCTTCGATACCGTCGTCAACATCACCGAGTCGGACCCCAACGAGCGCAATATGACCACGGGACGTCACATAGTACGCGACATCCACTGCCGCCAATGCAAGGAGACTGTCGGCTGGAAATACGATAAGGCGTATGAAGCCAGTGAAAAGTACAAGGAAGGCAAGTTCATCTTGGAGGAAGAGCTTCTGTGCACCGTCACCTGAAGACGGAACTCTACTACGCAGCATCGACGTCATATTGAAAGGGCATTTGCTGGGAGTTTTGGATTGGATACTGCGATACGGCTTGTTTACCCGGATGGTGTTTACACGCTTGGATTTTGGTGAGCTTTGGACAAGGCGTTCATGTGGATTCACATGGTATGTTGCACTCTATAGCGTTGTTGCAATTTCCTATCGCTATACTGAAGTACTGGTGCGGAAGGAGACGGAGAGCTACGTCGAGCTTCAAGCTTGTCGGAGTCCGTCGCGAACCGGGGCACCCGACAGCAACCCAAGACGCGGGTCGAAACATTCCTTGATCAACCTCTCAGGATTCGCGTACCATCTTAGCGATTTTTATCTAAGCTACTATACACGCTTGCAGCCAATGTGCTCTCACTGCCCATCCTCTCTACCCCGCAGTCGAACCTCGGCGGGGTTGGAGCTACCACACCACATCATCACCGAGGAGCATTTCGCGCCTCCGATGTCGTCAGGGCGTGCGCCCTGTACTTAGTCCACAAGCTCCACTTGGTTGCAGGCAGTTTCTTGAATTACATTTGCTTTCCTCCTGCATCTCCTAATCACAATCTTTTCTTTTGACTTTCAACAACGATAATTACTCCTAACAACATATCAAGAGGCACGGCATGAAAGCAGTCGTATTCAAGGGACCGGGGAAGGTGGTGATTGAAGACAGACCAATTCCGAAGATTCAAGATGCAGGAGATGTTATCGTGAAAGTTGAAAAGGCACGTACGCTGATCAATACCATCACCTCCTACTAATTCTTATTCTTAACAGACGGCATTATGCGGCAGGTACTGAAAGTCATCATCCATAACAACGGCATCTCTGACATTTACCCCAAGCGAATTACACGTCTTCCGCGGTCATCAGCCATCTGCTACCGACTTTGTGATGGGCCATGAGTTTACCGGCCATGTTCACGAAGTGGGCTCAGCGGTAAAGACCTTGAAAGTTGGCGACCATGTCGTCTCTCCCTTCACAACATGCTGTGGCGAGTGTTTCTACTGCACCCATGGCTTCTCCTCGCGGTGCGTCAAATGCCAGCTGTTTGGATGTCCTGCCCTAGATGGTGGCCAGGCAGAATACGTCCGGATTCCCCTCGCAGACTCCACAGCCGTCAAAGCACCACCTGGCATCAAAGACGAGGCACTGGTCCTTATGGCAGACATCTTTCCAACAGGCATGTTTGCAGCTAAGAACGGCTTCCAATATTCCACTCCCGAGGAGATCAAGGACAGTGTCGTTGTGCTTATTGGCTGCGGTCCCGTAGCTCTCTGCGCGCTCTGCAACATCACCGACTACAAGCCAAAGCACATTCTCGCTGTTGACTCAGTACCTTCGCGCCTCGAACTTGCCAAGTCACTGGGTGCGGAACCCTGGAACTTCCAGACTGATCGTGAGGGTCTCGATAAGCGCGTCAAGGAGCTCACAGACGGCCGTGGAGCAGACATTGTCATCGAAGTGGTCGGTCTGTCTCCTGCGCTTCGAATGGGATACGAATTGATCCGACCCTGGGGCGTCATCAGCTCGGTCGGAGTCCACAACGGCGAGATACCCTGGTCTGGAAATGAGGCGTATGGGAAGAACGTCAGAGTTCAGATGGGAAGGTGCCCTGTGAGAAGCGTGTTTGAAGAAGCACTCGACAGCTTAAAGAGGCATCAGGATAAGCTTGGGTGAGTTTGATGATAATACAGGAGTGTAACTCGCTGACTAATATGTGACAGCTTTATGGCTGATAAAGTCATGCCGTTGAGCGACGCCATTGAGGGCTACGAGTTGTTCGACAAGATGAAGGTGCAAAAGGTCGTTTTCGAGGCGCAAAAGTAGGGCGCATGCAGGTTGACTGCATTGAGTGGTGTTGAGGTGGTGTGAGGCTATGATACGGCGTTTGAGAGAGTGGATAAAGCACGAGCTGGCGTTGGTTGATGTGTGAGCGCGCATTGGGTGGTGTTGGGAGGCCGCTGCATACGTAGGCGTGGTGAAGGCCTAGTCTCAATCGAACAATGGAAGGCAGAAAACCCGCGCATCTCAGCCAATCATGGAATTCAGCGGCACGATACATTCACATTCTAGTCGTGGCTAGCCAGTACCCTGAAAATGCTGGATTTAGCTGCATCTTCGCGGGGCCTTGGCCGTTTTCGGGGCTCGTGCACGCGGGGTCTATTCTGTTCTGTCTTCGGTGATGGGGCGCGCGAGAGTTGCGAACAGCTTGATGCATTCTCGCCGGCATGCAGGCCATGCATGGTGATTGCTCCCGTAGATTCAGTGCCGCCTGCTGCACGAGGACAGCGATTGCGCCGAATCCCCTGCAGTGTCTCCCAGCACCTGCAATGTCTGTGAATAGGGCAAGGCTCGTCCGTCTCGCTAAGGAAAGCTACATCCTGCCGCCCTAATATTGCGCAGACCCAGGGCTTCGTCTCCCCTCCGTCACCTTACCTCCACTCTATCTGCACGCTCCAGAGAGGTTCCGCCAACACGCCTCTTCTCTTCTCCCACGCGTCCCCCAATCCTCCTCTCCGCTCCCTCCCACCTACCCTTGCGCCCTCCCCCTCTTACCTATCTGTCCGCTATCCCGCACCGACCACCTCCCCCGCCACTTCCGTAGTCGCCAGTGAGTAGCTTCCATGCACACTCCCAAACACGAGCCTTTGACACAATTGCTGATACGTAGCACGATAGCCTCGACACTTTCGACTCGTCCTCTCCTACCCCTCCGCCGCAGCACACCGAGCTCTCTTCTCTGTCTCCGCGACCCACCTTCTTCTCTTGTAAGTATCGCGATAGTGCGCGCGTCGCAAAACTACGTCACTGACCGCAGCTGCAGCCCGTCCCTAGGCCATCCCCACAACATGTCCTCAGAAGAGCCCCAACCCGGCCCCGGTCAGGATGCTAGCCGCGTCGCCGACCAGCTGGACCGCCTTAACATGGACGGCGAGGGTGAAGTAGTCCCGCGCACCGAAGAGGAATACGCTGAGTCGCAGCTTACCCTCCGAGCCATTGTTTCGTCCAAGGAGGCCGGAGTCATCATAGGCAAGGCGGGCAAGAACGTCGCTGACCTGCGCGACGAGACTGGCGTGCGCGCCGGTGTCAGCAAGGTCGTCCAAGGTGTCCACGACCGCGTCCTCTCTGTCACCGGTAGTCTCTCTGGCATCTCCAAGGCGTATGGCCTAGTCGCCAAAGGCCTGCTCGAGGGCGCCCCTGCTATGGGCATGGGCGGCGTTATCCGCACCGACGGCACTCATCGTACGTACAATTGCGACACCCCGGCGCTTCCTAGCGACATGGCTGCGTACAAGCGCTGATACCAAGCTAACAACTGTAGCCATCCGCCTGCTCATCTCGCACAACCAAATGGGCACCATCATTGGTCGCCAGGGCCTGAAGATCAAGCAGATCCAGGATGCCTCCGGCGTGCGCATGGTCGCACAGAAGGAGATGCTCCCCCAGTCCACCGAGCGCATCGTCGAAGTTCAGGGCTCGCCCGGCGGTATCGAGAAGGCTATCTGGGAGATTGGCAAGTGCCTCATCGACGACCACGAGCGCGGCTACGGCACTGTCCTCTACAACCCCGCCGTCAGGGTTCAGCCTGGTGCTGGTCCGGTCCCTCTGTCCAACGGCGGTGGCGCACCCGCCGGTGGTATGGGCGGACGCTCGTACAACCGCACTGGTCACGGCGCTGACTTCAGTGACTCGCCTCCTGCCTTTTCTCGACGATCTGGCTCCGATGCCGCCAGCAGGCCCCCGCCCCCAACGCACACCGAGGATGGCGAAGAGATGCAGACCCAGAACATCAGCATCCCGTCTGACATGGTCGGCTGTATCATCGGACGCGGCGGTAGCAAGATCAGCGAGATCCGCAAGACGTCCAACGCCCGCATCTCCATCGCCAAGGCACCTCACGATGACACCGGCGAGCGCATGTTCACCATCACTGGTAGTGCCAGTGCCAATGAGAAGGCGCTCTATCTGCTGTACGAGAACTTGGAGGCCGAGAAGATGCGCCGCAGCCAGGCCCAAGAGTAGACCGCTCTCTAGCGCATCTGCTACCCAACGTCGGCGCCGTTGGGTATTGCCAACCCTCTTGGGAGGTGCAAGATAGCTTGAGGCCGTGCAGGCCTCGCTATCAGTCGCCAGCTCTTCACGTCCGTCGCCATCTGCATTCATGTCTCCCGAAACGGAGACCACGAAAACCGACAACAAAAGCATGGAATTGCTGAATTTCTTACTTGCTGTTACTGATGGATACCACGGATTGTCTGGAGCATTATTTACTTTTCTTACTATTGTCGAGAGAGAACTGAGTGCACGCTGAGCGGCTCACGAATGTCATGACGTTATGGCCTTTGATATCCGGATAGTACATCTGCTCAAGGGTAGCAGCTCTGACATCCATCTTTGGGTTTTCTTGGCGAAGAAGAGTTGGGAAGAAGTGAGAAGCTTCTCACCACGTCCCGAGCTCTACTCCGACACTCCGATGTACCTTCCTAATCACTCCCTCACTCCTTACCCGAAACCCTTCCCTCTCCCTTGCTCCCCTACCGACACTCCGATACAAACAAACAACATCTACTACCAATATTTAGAATTCTATGATGATAGTGTCTAGACTGCGAACTACTCGTAACGTGATGTGGTACTTGCGAACGTTTGATGATGGTGCTGCCCAAGGGGAAATGAGTGCAGCATTGCACGTGCAGAACGAGGCTGCCCAGATGTTCCGAACCGTTGGACCCTCCAATCGGGAATACGTCATTAGTGTCACGCTCGGACGCTGAGCACCTGGACGCGATGTCTTCGCCACAACAACTGAGCTTTCCACAGAGGGCTCCAGCAGTGAAAGGAAGGTGTTCCGCCAAAGAAGTCCTTGTAGCAGCACAAGCTCGAACGACAAACGCTGCAGGCGCGGGATGCTCGCCCACGGTGAGGTTCGGCAGGCAGGCTTCGTGTGCCTCGCTAATCCTTCCAGGATCGCCCAGACGCCAGACGCGGGCAGGCGGTAGACTAGGGCAGAGACAGATTTGGCACCCCGACTGATTTCCGAAGGCTGGGTAGTAGCTGTTTCTTTTCAGGAGCTAGCTCTTCTAGGAAGGGGTGCATGATGGTTAAAGATGATTTCTTGACCGCATGTTCCCTCTCTGCCTCGCTTCTGCTCCTCCACAATATTCCTTACTCCATCCACAACTTCCCTACCAGACGACACCATACGGATTCACGGTTTGAAGCCTACGAGACTTGACACCGCCTACAAAGCACACACCACTCTCAACTGAGCACCACGACCATCATGGCGCCCATCCAAACGCAGACGATTACCCCTCACCAATTCAGCAACCCAGTCACTGTCATTCGAGCATCAGGACGCATATCGAAGCCACCAGCGCGATCAACGCGTACGCAAACCAAGGCACTGTTGTCTCATTCGCCACAAATACCTACTGCCCACCCAGACATCGACATCAGTCTGCTCCGCAACAAGTTGCTTCTTCAGTGCCGCCAGTACATCCCTTCAGAGCTTCTCCACGAAGCACTGGCAGACGGCATCTACTCACGCGCAACACACTGGATCACGCCCTCCTCCAACGCTGCGTCGAAGTTCGGCAAGCGGAAGCGCTACTACGTCTTGCATAGCGCGAACTTCACGTTTCAATCCATGGGCAGCGCGTGGGAAGCGCGGATTCTATCTAGAGGCAGCCAGCCTATCGATGCAGGAAACGGAGTAGTCGTCTTCGTCAAGGAGAGGAAAGAATGGGACGCATTCATGGCGGGGTACAGAAGGCAAGGAAAGCGAGCGGGGCAGCTGATGAGGCTCAAGCAAAAGGATACAGAGCGAGGGTGGAGAGATGCGTGGAAGAGGAAATGCGGGATGGAGGAGGGCGGCGGTAAGGAAGTCAACGCTGGGCCAATGTGGGTGCTGGTCAAGAGCGCTGTTTCGAAGATTGTCAGAGGTGAGGCGTGAGCTTGCATTCTGGGCCCCGGAACAGAGTGGGGGCTGCATCTGCTGGCGTTTGGCCTTGGATCTTCTTTTTTAGCGAGCATATTTTCACGACCTTATGAACGGCTGGAGCGGTAAGCGCGGAGAACGCTGTGAAGCCTTTTCCAGACTATGCGTAGATACCTTCTCCCGCAATAAACGACACAACCTCATGAAAACTCAGTCGGCAGACTGGCGCCCTTTGCATCGTGTGTGTGCTCCTCCAGCTCGCAGTGAAGCGGCGCTCCACACACTAGCGAGTGGGTGGCGCGCCCCGGTCGAGTCGATCCCTGAGGCTCAAACACGGCCCGTGCTCGCTTCTAACTCCGTCTTAGCCCCGGCCACTTGATGCCACGGTTGAAGCTTATGAACTGCATATGGCGCAGGTGTAATCTAAACCTAAAGCCAGGTGTACACTTTCCACTGACCCACAGTCGCTCAAGAAACATTGTTTCTCTGTATTCCTCGCGCACCACCATCGCGCAGTCCACTCCTTTACACACAGCGCGACACGCCACAACACGAACGCGGCGCGCGCCTTCCTCAATCAACTCCCACGACGTCACTAGCGATACCCACCATACAGCACGCACAATGGCGGAACCCTCTCGGCGCAAGGCCAATGAGACGAATGGAAAAGCGAAGAGAGATGCGCAGCACCAATTGGATGGCGTCCACCAATTGGACGGCGCGGTGCATTCGATCGAGCAGAAGCTGGAAGAGCAAGCAGAGCTCCATGCGCGGAACCCTCAGGAGCAAAAGGAAGCAGGGCTGTTCCAGTTGGTAATCTGTGTCGCTGGTATATATGGAAGTTTGTAAGTCATTCTGGAGCCTACGTTGACGTTACGTCGCCTACTTTGTACGTTTTTACGTCCATGTAGGCTGCAGGCATGTTCAGCTTTTTCCGTGTATGAGGTAGCTAACACAGGATAGCATGACCTGGGCATGGATCCAAGAGCGATTGACAACCACGACCCACGGTCCCGGCAACCAGCGCTTCACGTACTCCATCTTCCTCAACACCGTCCAATCCGCCTTCGCTGCCATCACCGGCCTCCTCTACCTCAACCTCTCCGCGAAGAAAGACCCCAAGACCGGCGTGCGCAAGGTGCTACCCATCTTCCCCTCGAAGGACATCCTCATGCCGCTCCTCGGAATCGCCGTCACATCATCGCTCGCGTCCCCCTTCGGATACGCAAGTCTCAAGCACATTGACTACGTCACCTTCATCCTAGCCAAGAGCTGCAAACTGCTCCCGGTCATGTTCCTCCACATCTCGCTCTTCCAGAAGCGATACCCCATGTACAAGTACGCCGTCGTCGGTTTCGTGACTCTCGGTGTCGCGGTCTTTACACTACACAGCCCGTCCACAGCGAAGAAGGCCGCGAAGAAGGGTGTCAGCGCAGACGCCTCGCAAACTATTGGTCTAATTCTGCTCGGGGTGAATCTTCTCTTCGACGGCCTTACGAACACGGTTCAAGATCACATCTTCAGCAGTTTCAAAGGTTTCACCGGACCCCAGATGATGTGCGCCCAGAACATCATGTCAACAGCACTGACAGTGTCGTACCTCCTCATCACACCTCTCCTTGCCTCCACGCCCCTCGCGGGCTGGATCGGCCTTGACCCACGCTCCTCATCCGGTGAACTCTCCGACGCGCTCTCGTTCATAACCACATACCCCGCTGTCGGCTGGGACGTCCTCATGTTCTCTGCCTGTGGCGCTATAGGCCAGGTCTTTATCTTCCACACCCTGGCCCACTTTAGCTCACTGCTGCTTGTTACAGTGACGGTTACGAGAAAGATGCTGACCATGGTTTGGAGTGTGTGGTGGTTCGGTCACGAAATCACTGGCATGCAGTGGTTAGGTGTTGGACTGGTGTTTGGTGGTATTGGTGCGGAAGCGGCGGTGGGGAGGAGGGAGAAGGCGAAGAAGGCTGCGGCTAAGAAGTTGGAGGAGGAGAAGAGGAAACGATAGATTATGTGAGTATAGGTTCGAGTTTTTTTGAGAGTAATAAAGGATGTTTCGGTGTGGTCCTATGTCGGTAGATCAGAAGACCGACAGAATATTCTTGTACAGTAGATACAGAACACGGTTCTTCTCCAACGAGCGTTAGACCCTGAGCTCGATATAGGGTGGGTGACCTTTAGCCAGCTGTGTCACCTTGTCAACGCAATCAAACCGCACCACCGCAACTGCACACTCTTTAGCCTGCAATTCCACCAGAAAGCAACATCAACACACTATTTCCGACTCCACTGCCAGGATGGATCCAACGGAACCGCTACTGGCACGTTCATACAAAGCACCGCAGTCCCGCCATTATCAACAATGCGGCGAGAGTGTAGCAGAGCACACTCTCGGCGGCTGCAGTATCCAGAAAGCAATGGCTATCAAGAAGAAAATCGCCAACTTTTTCGTACGCATATTCTTCGTCATCGCCGCGCTCACCACTATCTGGGCGTTGCCATACAGTACGGACAGCGATCAAGCAGTAAGTAGCACACTCTTCAGGGCCTCAAATACTTAGAACGCACACTGAAAATTTATGAACAGCCTGTCAGTCCGCCCACCGAGAAGACGTTGCTGCTATGCCTCTGCATAGGTCTTGCTGTCGGTTTTTGCACTACGTTCTGGATCGCCTACCTTGTTCTCGTTGCGCGCGACAGGAGCGTGACCGCTTGCGCAACAGTTCGCTGCTTCGTGGTTGTAGTTTCGATCATGGGGAAAGTGGGCTGCGCTTCGGCTTGTCTGGGAGAATTCTGGTATCACCGAGCTCTGCACGAAGATTCATGGGTGCCTATTCTGCTCTGGATCTACTCGGCAGGGCAAGCTTGGTGGGATTTCATAGCCGTGGCAAAGTTTGGGGAATTCATGATGGAACCCTACCTTCGCGAGCCTGGTTGGAACCCATTTGATAGCCTGATCTATGGGGTATAGGATACGTATGGCGGTTGAGTACGTGCAGGGAATTTCGACGTGGCACAGGCAGGCTGAGCTTTGGTCTTTTGTACCACCACGCCTTATTTACCCCACTTCCTCTTCGAGAGCTCCAACACAAACTGCACACTCTCTCTATTAGCAGCAAGTATCAAGACATACGCAGTACACACTCCAAACCATGTCACAAGAACCTCTCCTGCCTTCCTACGGCGCAGCTACCCAGCGCCCCCGCTCAAGCGAATACCGTCTTGTTGCAAAGCACACCAATGCCACCCGCGGACTGATGAATACTCTCTTCGTGTTTGTCTCATGTGTCAGCGCTATCTTTGCGACTATCTGGGCAAGTCGAAGCAGTGGTACGCAAGCGGATCCCGTAAGTAATCAACTAGATTTGATAGTCCTCTATTGACGTCTCACGCAGCCTCACACCCCACACCCCGGCACTGCGCCCCTCCTTCCGTATTTCGCATCCATCTCTCTCGTAGTCTCAACGTGCTTCTGGATCGCCTATCTCGTGTTCATCGCGCATGACAAAGAAAGCGGCTCGGTTCTCAAGCGCAAGATCACTATCGGTGTTGGGATTGCTGGGAAGGCGGTGCTCGCAGCGGCTCATGTGGCGATCTGGCAGGCATACAAGTTGTGGTGTGAAGGGCTTGAGACACCGAATTGGGCAGTAGTGTTCATGGCGGCGCAGGCTTGGTTCGATGTGGTGTTCGTGGGGATTCACGGGTGGGTGATGTGAGCGCTTATGGTGACAGGAAGGGTCATGTTGCGATGAAGGCGTCGATGCAACAGCTTGGTGTGATTCAGCTCAGTTGTCTGGAGATCAACGCCCTTTCAAGCTTATTGGGATTACGGAAGTCACACGTCCAGTTGGGTTAGCAGCTCGCGCTAAAATCTTAGCGATCGTGGAATTGGAAGCTACGTGCCAGTATCCATCTCTCACACTCCCGCCGACATCACCTCCCGATAATAAGAGCCTACCTCGAATATGTACACTTTCTGACTACAGCTCCGTAAAACGTTTCAATTGAGGCGGCAACACAGGATCGATCTCTCCTGACGTCCTAATTTCCGTCACCAGCACTGTTACCTGTATCATCGTCGGGTTCTTTCACTTCCCTTTTCTTTGCAATTAGATACGCGATCTCGATCTGCATATTCGGTTGCGGAAAGTTCTTCACGGCTTCTCGAAACTCTGGGAAGTTCTCTCGAGCAATATTCCTGAAAGGCTTGTTGGGGCCCTCGTACAGCCGTATCAGCTCCTTGTCATCAGCTTCTTTCCATAATTTATCGCATCTTTCTTGCATCTTGTTCCACTTTTCCCTGAACCTTGTGCTGGTCTGGTTCTTGAAGAAGAGATGTAATTTGTTGGGCGCAACATCGGTGTGCCGCATGTTCATGTGCCGCATGATACAGAGCAGCGCATAGAGGTCGCGGGCATCGAACGGCTCCTTCTTGGCCCTCATTGTCTGTGAGCCACCTTTACAAAGAGTTACCGGCCAACCTGTGTCATTCAAATCATTGCGTAATCCATCCCTCTCTTCTTGGTCAAGTTCCAAAGAGTCGAGCGCTCGGTTGCGTCGTGCGACCAGATCTCGGATTTTCTCGATATCGTTTAGCGCTTGGTCGCCAGGTAGTTGTGGGCCTGGTGCGGAAACGTCTGCACTAGATGATGCGGAGGCCATGACAGGTATCAGTTGGGAATTGCACGAGGGTTGGCTTCATCGCTATATAATACTCTCTGTTTGCTGACATACAAACTTGATGCGGTATCAGTCAGTAGGACGGGGCCATGCTTGCCATGACGTATCATTGCGACCCAAAATATTACGTCGATGTAGGACTCATTTTGGTGTTTATCTAGGTAATCTTTCGTTTGTAGGGGGGCACGTGGTATTGAGGTCGTACCGGCACTTCCGGTGACTCTCAACAGAGCATGCGATCCTCAGCGAAGGTTCAAAACGACAGTATCTTGCCAATTCAGCCAATTCAGTGTGTATACAGCAAAACTGTACACATATTCTAAACCCCCCTCTTATTCCGTTGTCAGAGCATTATACTGGTCACGACACTGACTGACTCGCATACCAATGAACATGTACTCTGCTATCTTGTCCATTTTCAGCAGTTTCTCGTCCCCCAGCCTCACGAGCAGGTCATTGTCCACATCTTGCCAAGTCCATGTAGGACCATCTCCGCAGCCCACGATTGAGTCAAGAGACTGCCAGACGGTTGGCCAACCGTACTTATTAAGAAGCCCGCGTACCTGATTCTGGTCTTTGTCTGATAGGAGGAGCTTAGAAAGAACAAACTCTCTGTACCGTTTCAGTTCTAGTGCTGCAGATGCTTCAGAATCGTCTAACGCGTCAGCTAGACTATATCAAGCAGAATGGCGTTCGATACTTACCGGTGTTCTCTGTTCCTCTGCTAGTGATTGCTGATTCCACATTGAGGCCTCCGTACTGAGACTGTATTTCTTCATTGTCGGTTTGTACACCTCCGTCGTCGGCTTGTACCTCTTCTTCATCAGCTCGTGCGTTTCCTTCGTGGGCTTGTACACCTTTCACCTCAGCGTGCCGTCCGTCATCGTTAGCCTGTTGTTCATTGTCGACCTCATATCCCCGATCAGCGGCCCGGTCTCCCGAGTGATCTCCCTGTCCGGCCCTAGCTTCAACCTCAGCCTGTAAAATAGCCGCGGGCAGTCGCTTGGAAACTTCTGAATCGGCATATGCTTTGGCCTCTGCGAATTTAGGATCGCCTTTCAAATTTCCTACACGTCCAGCAGCAATGTTTTCCGTAGCGACCTTGTCCTCAAGTCCGTTGTAGATGGCCTCAGCTACAGAATCGCTGAGTATCTCGCTCGTGTTGATGAAAGCACCGTCAGGTGAAAACATGATGGATCGATTAAGAGTAATTGACATCTGAGTCAGAACCGCAGGCTCATTGAGTTCCTTTTCAATGGAGAAGCAGCATCGATTGCTTCCCTTACCACGCTGCTTCACCATGTGCTCAGATTTCACGGGTGATGCAGACACATGGCTCTGCATCTGTGTTTGCGACCGAGAGGCCCCGTGGAGGAGGTATGATATTTTTTCCGTAAGCACAGCTACTCTACACTGCCCTTCCTCGCCCACTCCCTGAGTACGTTCTTCTGTATCTTCCCCGTGCTCGTCTTGGGCAGCTCCTTGACCACCACGACCTCCCTGGGCACCATGAAGCGACTGATGTTGCTGTTCTCCTTGGCCCACTGAATCACCTCATCGCCCAACGTGTCGCTGTTTGTGCCGTCCTTTGTGGTAACAAAAGCCTTGGGCCGCTCGCCCCAGTGTGAGTCCGGCACGGCGCAGACGCCGACTTCGAGGATAGAAGGGTGCGTGGAAAGCATGGCTTCGAGCGCTACGCTGGAGATGTTCTCGCCGCCTGTGAGACGTTCGGTTAGCGGGTCGCTTCAAGAGAGTGAGGCTCAGACAGTCAACAACATACCACTGATGATGATATCCTTCGCACGATCCAAGATCTGGATTGCTCCATCTGGATGCCAAACGGCTAGATCGCCTGTATGCAACCAGCCACCGTCCCACAACTTGCGCGTCGCTTCGGCATCTTTGTAGTAGCCCTTTGCGCAGATGTTGCCTTCGAAGATGACTTCTCCAACCTCTTTGCCGTTTCTTTCCACGTCGTTGAGGACGCCTTCCGGCTGCTCCGTCTTGATGACTCGCGTCGCTTTGCCCATGATAAAGCCGTGGCCTTGTCGTGCCATACGATCGTATTTTGTCTTCTCGGGGAGAGTTTCCCATTCGGGCATGTGGTAGCCTTTCGTGATCGGACCATACGTTTCCGTAAGACCGTAGACGTGGACGGGGTGTAGGTTCAGGTTTGACATCTGTTCGAAGAGCCATGCGCTCGGTGGACTTGCGGCTACGGTGACTCTGACTGGCTGGGGTAGGCGCTCTGCTTCCTTCGCTGCGCAGAGTAGAGTGTTGACGGTTGGTGCGGCGTTGAAATGCGTAATGCCTTCCTCCTTGAGCAGGCGCCAGATCTCTGCGTAGTCGATCTTGCGGAGGCAATAGTGCGTTCCTCGGACGGCGGTGACTGACCACGGGAATGTCCAACCCGTCGCGTGGAACATTGGCAGAGTCCAGAGATACTTTGCGCGGCCGGTATGATAGTTCAGCCCAGACTCAATGACATTGCCCATGGCAGCAAGGTAGACGCCGCGATGTGTGTATTCGACCCCCTTCGGCCGTGCTGTTGTTCCGCTGGTGTATGCGAGTGCCATGACGTCTTCTTCGTCCTTCGCCTGCGACTCCAGATCTGCCCAGCCCTTGCCCCCTTGCTCAATATCGTACTTCAATCCCTCGAGTACTGCATCGTCGAAAGGACCAGAGAGTTCGCCTTCTGTCGCATCCGTGTCTGTGTCGATCAGTATGGGTACGTTTGGTCTTTCCTTCTTGTATTCGTCCAATAAGCCCACAAACTCGGCATCCGCAATGATCATGTCCACGTCCGAGTGCTGGAAGATGTAGCTGATGTCATCGTGCTTCAACCGGTAGTTGATAGCGATATTCACACCTCCTGCCGCCGCGATACCGAATGTGCTCTCCAGGAATGCTGGTGTGTTTGTCGCCAATATGCCTACTCGCTTATACCCGTGCTTCCTCAGGTAGTATGCCAGCCCTCGTGCGCGGTCCGCAGCTTCAGCGTAAGAGCGCCGTAGGATCTTGCCGTTCGCCGTCTTGTGGTATATTGCCATGGCTTCTGGCTCGATTTGCGCCGCGCGCCAGAGGAACCATGTTGGGCTGAGGGTGTGGAAGTTGTGTCGATGATGGTATTCGTGGCTGTCGCCGGGATGGATGGGCGGTGGCCCAGGGACAGGGTTGGCGGACGTGAAATGCGACGCGAGTTGCTTGAGACGATCTTTAGCACCTTCCATTGTATCTGCACAAGGATCTGGTGAATCAACGTTCTAACAGCAGCTTATATACACGCGACGGAAATATCGATCTACAGTTTGGCCCAGCTGAGCTGAAGCTACAGACGCCAGAGTGCGGAGTAGCTCCGCTGTGGGACGAGATGCGAGAGATGTCCGAGGTCTTGAGCGATGAGAGGGCTGCAGGACGCGATTTTTGACAGGGATTCGCGATGGCGGACAGAATGATGTCGTGATACTTTGAACAACGTGGTCTAATACATTTCTTACATGGCGCAATGACTGACAGCTGACCCTGAAGCTCCCAGCCATGGGGAAATCTGGGGAAGGGTACCGGTTCCGGTGCGGCACGACGTCACAGCCGAGGTTAAGCGCCAGTAGGCATACCCTATCCTCCCGACCGCGTCGGATAGCAGACACGTTGGACTACGAGGCTGTTATGCAAGGTACTTGTCCATTTTGTCACGACAGGGTGGATGCAAAGCATAAAAGGAATCGTGAGTGAATTGACATAACCACAAGTCTATTGCTGAATGCTCAACGCCGTCACCATGCTTTACATCAGCTGGGATTTTTCATTTCGTATTGCTTCTAGCCGGAAGAGTACCTGAAGACACAGCAGACCGACCGCGAAGAGACCCATGAACACGTAAGCACCCTGGTATTGATGTGCTCTTTTAGCCTGGACACCCTTTCGAATGGTCGGAGTATAGTAGAGGAAATAAACATCCCATGAGCCCAATGCAATCCACGCCGAACCACGTCACCGAAACTGAAACCGACACTGTTCATCGACTGCCGATTTCTAGTATGCGAGGGATGTGAGCTCTTGCTGGACCTTGGAGTCGACGGAGGCCATCTTCTTGGCCTCAGCCATCTGCCGGCGGATAGCCTTCTTGCGCTCGTAGTATGCGGCACCCTTGACCTTCCTGCGCTCCTCAAGACTGCGTATGGATTAGCATTTCTGATCTCCCATGCAGGAATTGGAGCGACATACCGGGCAACGACGTCCTGGTACTTCCAGCCGAACTCGTGTCCGAGACGGCCGACAGTGCAGTACTTGCGTCCGGGCTTGAGCCTCAGCACCCTCAGGGCCTGGGGAACGACGACGCGCTTCTTCTTGTCGTAGGGAGCGGGGACACCCTCGAAGGTCTTCAAGCGCTCCATGGCGGCCTTACCGCGGGGGGTCTTGTGAGGAATCATACCGCGGACGGTTCGCCAGAACATCTTGGAGGGAGCGCGGAAGTGGAAGGGACCTGGCAGGTGGGTCAGCACATGTCGGCTAGTAACGCGCACATTCGACGTTGGACCGCGAATGCGCCATGTGTGGACGGGGAGACGTACCACCACGAGTGGGGTTGTAACGGGTCTGCTTGCGCAGGAAAGCAGAGTACTTCACTGTAGGGTCATGTCAGTTGCTGTCTTGCCAGAAAATTGTCCCTGGAGCGCTCCGCCAAAAAGCAGCCAAAGTGCACATCGCCGACCACATCGTCCTCTTGTAGCCCCATGTACCAATTGCACTCCATGGCTTGCTCCTGATCTCGCTCGCTCGCTCGGTGGGTGTACGTACACTTGGCGCGGAAGAACTCGCCGGAGATGTTGAGGGCCTCGCATCGCACAACAACGATCTTCTGGCCGTTGAGGAGCTGCTTGGCGACGGTGCTGGCGAGGCGACCGAGCAAGTGGCCCTTGCCGTCGATGACCTGCGTGCGCTGTCAGCGAGACGTCCAAGGAAGATGCGTGGTGTTGACGGGATTGCAGGCTGGCATCGCGGCGGCATGCGAAGGCCAGTGCCTGGGATATCGGGCTGCGTCTATCGGGGCGTACGTACAATGACGGGTTCGAATGTCGACATTTTGCTCGACTCCGGTGTGCTGTGAGGTTAGTTGTCGTGATGGAGAGCTCGATGGATGCGAATTCCAGGTGGCTCGACTAAGCGAACTGAATATTCGAGTTTGTGGTGCACGGACCCATTAGCGTGACTTCATCTCCAACGAGGTGAGCTTGCCCATCACCAATGTCTGCGTGACAGCCAACGCCAACAACCAACGCACGTCTTGTCGCTCGCCTGTGAGGTAGCAGTCCGGATACAATGCACGCATGTCGCTGCGGCGAACTGTCGCAGCATTTGGCGGACCGCCTGCTCGTCCCGTCATGTCAGACGCGCGCGTTCCAGGGTCGTTGAGGTTAATTGAACGGCTTCGACTGCGAAAGAAATAACAGTTCAGATTTGGCCTGTGTGATCTTGTGAGGGATGGATTGCTGAACGATTTTTACAGCGTGGTTAGGCTACACGTTGAACGCACGACTCCACGTGCTTCTTTGCGACAGTCCTTTACGCCAGTCTGAGCTGCTGATGCTGCTACCGCTGCGACCATGTCAATCCAAACTGACCTCAATATCTGGATAAACTGCCGACCTGCAAGCTGCGAGTACTCTAAGTCCAAACCAAGGACCAGCACTCACCGTCGATCTGATCCGATACTCTACTCAGATGCGTATGTCTCTATCGATATTCAGCATGTGTCTGTCTTCAATATATCGAACAGCAACGATGTAAGCGCTTTTGCGATGACCAGCTCTGGTTAAAGATAGGCCAGGGTGAGCGAGCGCCAGAGCGCGACGATGTTGTGTATCTGATGCCTTTGAACATCGCGGCTCACAAATGTATTCGTCTCTGTCTTTGAACCGTACTAAGGTATACATCGCAATACTTGTCGGGCTGGAGGGAACGGCCTGCAGGTAATACTGTTAATCGAAGAAGGTCACGATAGCGTACGCTCTCGCTCCTGCCAGACTGAGCTGCAAAATGAATTTTGCGCCCCATCTGGCTCATGCTAGGCAGGCACGCCTCCCAGCTCTGCCACGCGCATCATCAGTCCTGGTAAGCAGAAGCGTCTGCAAGAACAACCACGACCCACGTTGTCGTAACGCGTTTATCCATCTCGCCAGCCATCATCATCT